CCTCGTTAATTTGCTGTGAAGCACGAGGCATCATATCCAGAGCTTTCGTGAAAATCGGACTCGAGGAAGCCCCCAACTCCCCTCGTTAGCGTGAAATGAAAATGAAACAATGTATTCCTCTTCGATGCCAACATGTCGCAAACAATCAACGTATGTCGCATACTGCAACTTTTCCCCGAAATTCGGTCATTTGTATCCTTTTCACCGGCATGGACAAACAAAAAAAAAAGGGGGGGGGGGCTACCTTGTCTCCTCACTTGAAAAGTCTTTGGGGCGATAAACGCCACCCGGTCGTTGGCTGGTTGGTGTCTCGGGCACAATCACCTCGAGGAGGAGAGAAAAAGAAGAGATACCGATCTGTCTTTCCACTCAAACGATCTCCCTCCCCTCCCGTCCGTTGTACCCATTCCCTCGCTCACCGGCCGTAGGTCCGAAATTTTCACGTCCAAGACGCTCGACGTGCCGAAAGCCGCCCTACCGACTTACTCTCGTCAGATTAGTTTTCGAAGTGACGGCTTCCTCTTGCCCGCTCTCGCGTACGTGTATATTTATATACACACGCGCTCTTGGGAGTCGCTTTCGCTCGGTCTCTGTTTCTTGTCATCTGCTCTTTTTCGCTTTCGCTGCTGACCACTTGACAGATGACGAATGGACACTTCTTTCTTTTCTTTTTTTTTTTTTTTTTTTTTTTTTAACGGCAAGCCCTGCTTGCACGAGAGCTAAATTACGCAACACACCATGCAAATACATAATAGATGTCACGTGGGTAAGGGAGGGCAGGCAATTTACGAGGTACAATATCATGGGAGAGTAGACAAGTATATATTTGTGTATACATCGTAAGGGGGGGGGGAGAAATGGTATTATACTTTATTGGCGCTGATTAGAGGGGAAGGGAGTTAATTTAACCAAGATCGCTGGCACGAGATAAACACCGATTTATCCGATAGCGCTTGAGAGATGTGTGGGTGAAAACATAATTTTTGGCTCGATTGTTTTGGGGAAAAATTGAGGATTAAAATATATTCATAACGGTTAAAGTAGATGCTACCGAGTACGGCAAGACGCTGATTCATCCTCTGCCAATAAAATAACTTTTCCAATTCGGGGGTAGCATTTGTTTTTTTTTTTTTTTTTTTTTTTTTGAGATCAATCTCGTATAAATGCTATACCTATTCACCTCCGAGAAAAAAAAAGCTTCGTGCATCTACCTGCCCGCGACCAAGACACCATTACGCAACCAGAATCCGAGTGTACACAACAGTGCAGCCGTAAGTGCACGGACTCAACTCCCGCACGGAGCACGGTATACATATATATATAAGCCAAGTAAGCTCACCGATAAGTCCGAAGCAGAAGCCCGTGTGCTTATAGGTATATACCTGTACATAGACGTGGAGTGTATTACGGGGTCAACGCATGCACCGGTGGAAGGGGGACGAGACAATACTGCATAGCAGAGCGAGACAGAGGAGGCCTTTGTTTAGAATTTACGCGAGTCCAACTCTTAATTATCTCTCTCTCTCTGGGCATTGGACTATATCGGCACGGTAAAAGTATAGAGTATGTATATACGTACGAGTGCAGCGTATCTCTCTCTCTCTCTCTGGTGGACGCGTACAGTGCCGGTGGCATCGGTGTTTGGGGCGAGTGTCTGCGTATGCAAGCTCCCTTTCTCTCCTCCCCCGTGTCAGTCCGTCCGTCCGAGCATCGCAGATCAATCGGCCGACGACCGGCCCTCTGCTTAAACGCGCCCGAGAGTCGTTGGTACAGTACAGCAAACGCGTGACGAAACGCGGCCGCTCTCGTTTATCATACTTGCCAAAGTAACGCTTCCCGTGTATAATTGATGTTACCTAGCTCTTAACTCTACTGATAAAGAAAAGAAAAAAAATGTACAGCCAATTACGCCGTGGCTCATTGAGCGATCGACCATCGCCACCGTGCACCGTTGTTTCTTCTCCTACCCGCGGAGCTTTGAGCGACAGTGTACTACCTAAGACGAAGACGCTTGCGTGCTGCGGAAAAAGTTAGTCGCTGTTGTGCCACAGTGAGGTGCCACCTCTACACCCCTGTTTGTCCGGCGATGGCCGTAGCCCGACAAATTCGCAACTACAACAGTCGCGACTCCGCCAGAGCTTTCACCCAAGTTCGAGAAACTCGCGAGCACTCGGGTAATTTCTTTTTTATTCCGTTTCTCCGACGCTAGCGCCTGTTCCTAAGGGGAGTGATGGGGTTACAAATGTTTGTCCGACGAGAGAAAACTTGGATACTTGTTTACTACGGGGATTTAGTTACGGATGATCGGTAAGCCGTTTATTTTTCCGCTTAAAAAAGCAAGAGCAAACTCTTCGGTGGGAAATTGCGATGAAAAATCCCGTGTTTGCTTATATGGCCACGTGCAAATGCCAAGTTATCGAGCTCGCAACGGTGTATATAAGTATTCCGAAATTTCAATGAAACTCGCGCGAAACTACATCATATATATATTGGTACAAGTGGATCCCGTCTCAACCCCTATCCATCCAACTCCCCTCTGCTGTTCATAAGTATATTGACTGGGGAGACGAGAGCAAACAGAGTCCCCGCGAATCCGTTGGAGAAGTAAATATCAAAAATCCAATTTCCATCCGCGCGATCACGCGCAGGCGAGTGTCGTAACGAAAACAACCCCCATCCCGAATTTATCAGAAATGGATACGCGATTTTATTAGCGCCATTGACTCCTCCGTGAGACGCCAGAGCGAATTTTCTCTGTTTACTCTCCACGGCGAGCATTAAAATTTAATTGTAAGCTCGTTGGCAGCGTATACGTATCAGCCAGCCGATGATGTCTCTCTCTCTCCGTTAACTCCCTGTCGTCATCGGCAATAGGCACTCGCCCAACAACAGACCCGAAGCCTTAGAAAGCCGAGCCGTATATACTTAATGCACTTACTCGAAGAACGGGGCCGGGTATACTCGCTTAAGTGGGCCACGCTTATCTGGCGATCCAATTGTCCATACCACGGCCACGTGCACCCACGATCTGGAGAATCCTTTCAGGGGGAGGTGGGTCGGGTTTCGTTACGGCGAAGGGGCACCGAGTGGACGCCAAAGAGATCGGGAGGACAATGGGTGTTTTATTCGCGTTTGGAGTTTTCAGTCCGTGACGTTTTTCTTCTCCTCTTCCTGTACCTGCTCTCCCTCCGGTTGTGGGTCCTGTGCGCACACAGTAGCTCCGTGCAGTTTTCGAGATGTGACCCACAGAGGCTGGCTTTGGGGTAATGAAGTGCGCGAAAAAAGAAGAAAGAAAAAGATTAATTAGAAAAAGCAAGCCTTGACCCGTGTACGTTGTCATCACCGCACATATGTCAATGTTGACCCCTCGTTTTTTACATTCACTCAAACGAATGCGACGAAACGAGCTGTCATCCCTTCGAAAGCACGGCCAACTGTACATAACGGAGCTCGCGGTGAAACGGACGAGACACATTTTCATGTATAGGTATATTATAAATATGTACATATGTACAGGGAGAGCCATCCAAGCCAGTCGTGCGCGACGATTCCCGCGATCCTTTGTTTGCCGGCCATCACAGTAGTCGGGTGCGGATGGGCCTCCGAACGAGCGCGTGCGATGCGCGCGAATTCCACCAATTGCAGCCAATTATAGAATGTACACACATGTTTTGTACGCGGGGTCGGTGTCCGCGGCACCCTTATACTGCGTATGCGTTCATTAAGGGACTTATTTTAAAATTTACGGATAATTTTCTTTTTTTTTTTTTTTTTTTTTTTTTTTTTCATTACTTTTTATACATTATTTACCCTCCCTGTCTTTCTCCACATAGGCAGTAAACTTGTACGCAAATGATAACCAGATGCGAGAGATTCTCTAATTGATTATAATGTACTAGCTCCCGCGAGGATTGCATGCGAGCGCGTATACCATAGGTACATGGGTATACTGTAAAAATATAGGAATCTTGACTCATGAACTGAATCGATGTACAGTACGCACATAGAAAGGGGTAAAGGTTGACGCAACTGCACGCTTGTTTTACCATCTTTCGAATAAACTCATGTGTGGGTGTGTGTGTGTACGTATTAGTACGGCAGCGGAAGCGACGCTAAAAGTCTGCCGGGCTTGGCTAATGAGTGCGCTACAATTGTACACAAGCAAACATGTACAGATAGAGCCACGGTGAAAGTGCGACACTCCGAGTTTCCATCCGAGTGTGTTGTTCACGCATATACACATATATACATGATCCCCCTCTCCACCCCGCCCCCGAGGGGGAGCTTTACGAGGGCTGTTTCGCGCTTTTCGTAATTTTCACCGGACTCGGGAAATAAAAGTTACAAGCTTTGTGTGCGTATCTATAGAGTTTGCTGCTCTCGTCTGCGCTGGTTGACTATGGTAATGTTGTTTCTGTAAGTGCAGCGCGAAACTCGCTAACTCTGTATCATCGCACTATACGGCCTCTCTGTTTGCTAACGAGAGACTATGGGGGCCATTGTTGTTAAGTAGGTATTGCGTGTAACGTATATTTATGATTTTTTTTTTTTTTTTTTTTTTTTTTCTACCAACAGAGTCGCCGAGGCGGTATGTGGAGGGCGAGGTGACGATCCATTACCGCTCGCCAGTGCGCTCCGAGGCGAAGGAGCCGCTGAGCGAGGAGGAGCTGGCCCGGCGCAGTGCTGACAATATGCGCCGCGTCTACCAGGAGGAGCGTAGGCGCAAGTACCTCCAGGAGCTGCACGACATCGACTCGCGCCGGCACACCGACAACTTTGTGTGAGTTGATTTTTGTTTTTTGTTTTACTCTCGAGGTCGGTCAATTCATGGGGACAGTCGAGTTTTGGTCGGATGCGTAGATGAATTTTTTTTTTTTTTTTTTTTTTGATCGGCGCTTTGGGAGGAGAAAGAGCTTCTCTGCGTGCGCTGGTTTTTTCTGATAAATGGAGTCGCCCTACAACTCCCTTTCGATGGCCAAAGTGAGTTTATTTGTTTACATGGTTTTCTCGTCCCCCCTTTTTTTTCTTTTATTTGTACTCCTGGAAAATCGATGAAAGTGCTTACCGGACGAGCGAAATCTCGTGTTTGCCAAGCGAGGAGTCGCTCCGGTGCTAAGTTGTCAGAAGCAAGGCAAACGAAAAAACCCAGCTGGTTTGAGAAAACAGTCCCTTTTCACCTTTTTTTTTTATCATAGAAATAGAACATTTTATAAAAAGATCGCGGTTTTTTTTTTTTGTGCAAATACGTCGCTGCACTGATAATTGAGATTTTTCAAGACATACCATCTGCGGTAATCCGAGTGCTTTTTTACCCATCGTCGTGATTGGAAACGCCTGCATTGTGGACCCTGATTTTAAAAGTTTTAAAATGAAATTCGTTCAAACATCGATTAATTATAAAATTATGAGAAAGTCACATTTACATCGTGTCTGACCATATTTTTCTTGATCTACTCACTACTGTCATATAGACATGACCATTTTGCGTCACAAGATCATAAAATTTATTAAATTTTTACAAATACAAAAATCAATCAATTGTTTCACCAGCTCTACTACCACTAGGTTTATTTAACAATCGTAAAAAAAAAAAAAAAAAAAATCAGTGCTGAATGACTGCAGCCTTTACTTGAGAAAACTGTATTTTCAACCCAAGCCAATGAATAAATAATTTTGCAGACCGTCGCAAAAGTCGCCGATACCATTGAACCGCTACGACGACTTTGTGGACGACCTGAGCTACAGAAGCCGCTCCCAGGAGCAAACGCCCGAGCCGCGGCTGGTCGCCCGCGCCCTGTACAACTTTGTCGGACAGACGCAGCGCGAATTGACTTTCCGGCGGGGAGATTTGATTTTCGTGCGCCGGCAGGTCGACAAAAACTGGTACGAGGGCGAGCACAATGCGATGGTTGGCCTCTTCCCCTTCAATTACGTCGAGGTGAGCTGTACTTTTGTGCCCCTCCCGGTGCAATTTCGAACTCTACTCTCGCTGTTATTGGCTTTTGCTGTCGTCTATAGAACCGCTCGCTGTCTGTCTGTCTCTCGAGTGACTTATTTATTTACCCCATTGTGTTCGACAAAGCGAAATCGATATGCTCGCCCGAGTGGTGAAAGAGGAGAGAGAACGAAATTTTGGCTTTGCTTGGATAGGGAAAGGGCCTCTTTGGAAATATTAAATGCTTTTTGGTCCTTTGCAGATTATACCCTACGACGAGATCAGAACTCTGCCAAAGAAATCCTACGAGGGCCAGGCGCGCGCAAAGTTCAACTTTATCGCCCAGACGAACCTCGAGCTGTCCCTGGCGAAAGGTAAGAAGCTCTTTTTTTTTTTTTTTTTTCATCATCCAACGACACGTGGGTATGATTTTTTTTCTTCTTTTTTTCTTTCAGGAGAACTCGTGTGCCTGACCAGGAGAGTCGATGAAAACTGGTGGGAGGGTCGAGTCGGCAACAGAAAGGGAATATTCCCGGTCTCTTACGTCGACGTCCTCAGCGAACCCGGTCCCAGACCTGGTACGTTTCACGCGACTCATTCACCTTATCGGAAAGCTATAAATTGTTTTTCTCTTAATTTTCAGAAACACCCATTCAAAACAAACCTGTAGCCTCACCGGCTGCTCACAGTATGCTATCCAACGGGACGTCCAGCGGAAAACTGAGTATGGGAGCCCACCATTACTCGCCTACGCTGCCCGTCAGTATCAACACAACCCAGCCCCATTATAATTCACTGGTATATTTTTACTTGATTTTTTTTTTTTTTTTTTTTTTTGTACTATACTTTGATTTCTCCTCAATTGATAAAATTCAACGTCATTGCAGCCAAAGGGAGGAGTGGGTAAGCTACAGGTGGCCCCCGTCAATGAAACTCTGCACGTCGACACGCACTCGGAACCGATACCGTAAGCATATATGACTTTGTCAATAAATTTCTGGCTCCCAAATGCATTTATAATAATTGATCTATTAAAGGTACCGAGCGCTGTACAACTACCGACCGCAGAACGAGGACGAGCTCGAACTTAACGAGGGAGACACGGTCTTCGTGATGGAGAAATGCGACGATGGCTGGTTAGTAATTTATTTCCCCTTTTTGATCCACCCGGAATAACGCACATGTTGATGTATAATAATGAACTGGTTTTGGACGTCCCGCCCAGGTACGTCGGCTCGTCCCAGCGCACGGGCTACTTCGGCACCTTCCCGGGCAACTACGTCGAGCGCTTGTGAGGCCGGCTGAACCCCGGGCCCTCGCTCCAGCCGGCCACCGAGCCGGTGATATCCCGGGCGCCCTCCTAGGGTCTGGCGGGGCGGCTGCCGCCCCAGGAGCCGCCCCCGGTCCGCCACGCCGAGAGACGCGGCTCCGCATCCTCGACCTCGTCGCGCCTCGTCGACCGTCTGATCGCCGCCCTCGTACCCAGTGCCCTGGGTAACTGCGGGGCCAGACGAGCCCGCTAATACGGACCGGCCCTTTGCTCGATCGCGTTTCGTTGTCAGTCCAAAGATTGTCCGAGTGTGTGTGTGTGGAGAGTTCTCCCGGTTCGGCCCTCGTTCGCTGTGGCTTCGATCGCGAATCGACAGAGTGCGTGTATAGGTGCGTTGGGTGTTTTTCATTTTTCCGACTATTGGGAAATTGTGGGTGGGGGGGGGAAAGAGTACTGGGTGATTGGCTGATCGAAGGGGACGAGGGACGCGCCGAGTCGGCGCTGTAAATACCGATTTTAAAATGAAGAAGAACAAAAAAAGAAAAATAACAGTCTTCCTGCAATTCTGAGCGAGTCTTGTACACCGTGTTTTATTTTTAATCGTCCGCGATTTGGGGACGTGTGTTTACCGTTGTTGTTTTTTTTTGTTTTTTGTTTTTTTTATTACGCGCGTTTGTTCGTGGTCTTGGGTTTACGATTGTTCCGAGGAACGAGAAACATAAAAACTATATACATATGAAAAAGCGACCCGTTGCGTGTGAATATTCAATCATAGGCTATAAAAGTGAGCAGCGTCATTGCGTCTACCAAAAAAAAAACAAAAACAAAAAAAAAAGTCTAACTTGTAAGTAGTGTAAAATAAGATTATTAGAATCATTTTGACGGATATACATACAGTACATTAAATACGTGTAAGAAAAAAAAAAAAATTTCCTAATTGAGTAAGACACGCATAAATTTTGTTCACGCTTTTTTGAAAGAGACACGCAAATCGTAGGTGCATTGAATAAAAATAAATAGCAATGATGGATGCGACGATCGAGGAGATGCGACAATGAGATATATATATATATATATATGCTACGTTTACGGATAAGCTATGATTGCATGCGTAATATACAACTAAAAATTAATTGTTTAAACTTTTTCTAACGAGATTACAACAGTTTTTGGAAACATTTAATTAATACTTGTAAAATTTTGAAAAAGAAAAAAAAAATGATTGTATGCAAAAAATTTGTGAAGACTGTAGTCCAAAAAAAAAAAAAAAAATTCAAAGGGGTCCTCTAAATGTATGTGTCGCTTGCCATAGAGACTGCAATAATTATTTAAAGGGATCGAGGGAATAATCAAAATAATATTAAAGTATCTTAAAGTGGATCGAAGACAAGCGATTTCGGTCGATCAAATGTTTTTAATAACAAAATTTGTGCTCAAAATTAGCATGCCACTGAGCCTATCTTTTACTATCAAAACAACTTTGGAATATACTGCATCGTAATACTAACAATTGAATAAGTAAGTAGCGAGTGCTGATACAGAAAAAAATGTTTTTTATTAATTATAAAAGACACACATAATTCAAATTTTTATAATTTGATTTTTAAACACTTACATGGTCTTTTTGACAAAAAGTCAGCCAGCGAGCGAAACTAAATGTTCATGTGTTTTCCAATGCCTTCTCGAATTCGTATTTTTATAACAAATTATTTGTACGTTGATAAAATTTACAACCCATCATGTAAACTAAATGTGCGACGATAACGATTGTAACATTTTACACTATAGATTGTAAAAATTGCAAAACCAGGCGAGATATGACCTTTTGTTTGAAAAACTTTTTTTGTTTTCAAGCGAGACCGTCACTCTCCTTGAGTGTATTTTGCTTTTTCAAAGTTATAAAAAAAAAAAAAAACATTTAATTCGAGGCATATTTTAATCGATTTAGAAATATAAATCGATGATAAATTATGTTATTACGTGAGTTATTATCCAAGATTTGATGAACCTATCATCATTTATATACATATTTTTATTGTACGTTATTATTATAAATGCTTTATTATCTATACGTTTATTATATATTTTTAGATAAGAGAGTATCGTGTAATGTTTTACTTACTGCACAGTTACGTTTTATCAATTATCATTTAGAAGTTAATCGCAATATTTTTCACTAATGATAATTATTTACTGTTAAAGTTTAGATTCTTTAATAGCTTGTTATTGTTAAATTTGTCCTTGTATTCTCTTTTTTTTTCACACATAGCGTAAAAATCGTGAAGAATCGTACTATATATCATTAAAATACGTATACATATCTACATATTTTACCGATAGTAATTTAAATTGAAAATACCAAAATTTTTAATAAGTATGTTNAAAAAAAAAAATAAATAAATATTAGACATTGCCAACGTGATATGGAAACTCGGCGGAGTTTTTAACTGTCGCAAAGTAAGCAGAAAACACCAAAGGAATTAGTGACTATCGCTCGCGTTAATATACACAAAAGACATGTACACAATTAAGCTTTAATAAAAAAATTTAAAAAACTATAATAATAATAATAAAAATAACAATAATGATAAACTGGCTCGTCTCTCGCAGAGGAGACAAAAAAAAATAAAAAAAATGATACGAGCGACGATACACTGTCTCAAACTCCTGTGCAATGCGTCGGATTGATCGACGTAGTTCAAAAATCAGACAATACTACCGATTTAATCGATTAGCTCATTTCTTCTAAGAGCCGACAATTATCCTAAAGAAAAATAAGCACTGACTTTGCAAACATTGTTTTATCATGCTAAAAAAAGTAACGTGTTTTGTTACTTTTGCCATCTTTTTTTTTTTTTTTTTTTTTTCCATAAACGCCTTGAAATTTCAAAATCAATTACTCGATGATCAAAATACCGCCACTTGTACGATGAATTAACGAGTGATTGATATATACAAGTTTTTCAAAACGTCAGTCATTGACGAACGATTAATTCCTAAAGTAAGCCAGATGTTCATAACAAATTCTAAAAAATTATGTTGCCACAATGACATTCGTGATTTTTTCGCAAAGAAAAAAAAATATTGAAGAAAGAAAATTTCGAAACAGACTAAAGAGTGGCTTTTCCGTCTCCTCGTGCATGTTACTATAAATGACTTAGCGGGCATGCATACATACACACACACACACACACACACCCTAGGGTTATAAATATATATATTGCATATAAATATGTATACATACACACTAGCGAAAACGTAAACGAAATAGTAGGATGAATCGCACGCGAAAAATACACACTTACAGAAATGAACTACATCTATACGTGCATAGAACTGTATAGGAAGGGGGAGCCCTCTGCCGATCTTCGCGGCCCCACCCCCCGAGCACATCTGTCAAAACATATCTTCTAGGAAATACCGCGTATTTTCGGGACAGACGACAAAGAGATGGAAGGAGTTGACGGATATAGGAGACGCATTTTCGAAAAAGTACGACGGAGTTTTTTTTTACCATCATCAACTTTCACGCGTTACAAGGATAGCAGGGGGGGGATCGACCCGTCGTATTTTTTGGTGCGTTAAATTGATTGTGCTACGTTGATCTTTCGACCCTTTTGTTTTGTTGCGACTTTTATTATTTTTTTTTTTTTTTGTGAGTCAATGAGATTTTAATAGTAAAGACCGAAAGAAAGAATCATAGAGAAGCGAAGGTTCGGTTTGCTTTTTATTTGCGTGCATGTGTGTGTGTATCCGTTGTTGTACGTGTTTCAAAGACGGCGTTGCGGAGTGAAGACAGAGTGTATATTTTGGCTTTTATTTTATCTTTCTTCCAATAATCGTTATAATCGTCGAATTGCGTCAATTTCATTGCTGCGTTGATTAGCACTAACGATGTAACTATATGCATTGTATACTTCAATACAAATAAAAAAACCTAGTCTAATACTATTTCAAATACTGATGTGTTTTATTTATCCTCCGTCCCGCTGATGCGTAAAAAGATGCTTGTTTAACTCAGTGAGGTTGTTTAACTTGGCTGTCTAGACTAATACGCCCAACTTATACGTTCCGTTGAATAATAAAAAAAAGATACGCTGTGGTGCAATTTTTTTAAGAAACCAAGTGAAATTGTTTTTTTTACAATTTCGTCAGATTGGACGGGGTTTTTTTACGTCTCAACGAATCTTAGATGCTACTTTTATTGTAAAACGACAGATAAAATCGTGAAATAGTAATTTTTGGGGGTCATTTTTAATCAACCAAATGATTCGTACGGATGTGTCTGTCTTTTTCTTGGGCACAATCGTCTGAGTTGCAGTGACAAGTGCCATACACCTTTTGTACCAATTACATGCCAATAGTTTGGTTAAAGTCTAGAAAAAGTCACGTTTTCGGACTGAAAGGATCAAACCAAGTAAAAAAAGGAATTATTTGAAAATTGTTTGATTTTTGAAATAAAAATTTATTCGTAAAGTACAATGGCACCTCTAATAATTTAAGGTAACTTATATAAATGTAACAAACTAAACGATTTGCTATCAAATGAATTGGCTACAGTGGCTTAGAAATAAAATAAAAATAATAAATAAAAAAATCAAGTTTTCTCGCTAAAATGGCTCAACGTCCCTAAAATACACGCCTGTAAGTAATACGCGCAATCTCACAGCCGCGTGAGTAAACACCATAGACACGTCCTTCATCAAAGGAGAAGCAATTCTCGAGACTCACGGGGGCAGTGATTGTCTCAAGTAGTCCTGGTTCACTCGCCGCGGCAGGAGTGACAGCAGCGCCTGCGAAAGCTCGGGTTCCGGCACTGGGCAGCCAGATCTCGAGTTCCGGCACACGAACGGCTCCCATCGCCGCTGCACTGGTGCGCGCACTTGTCGAGTCCCCTGCAGGGGCGCGTCTCTTCCGGAGGCGGTGCCGGAAATGTCGACGACCCGCAAGCTCCGACCGACATCTGGCGCTGCTCCCAGCCGTCGAGCTCAGCGCAGCGCGCCCGCCGGGTCTGCACTCCCCGCCCGCAGGTCTGCGAGCACTGCAAAAAAAAAAAAAAAAAAAAAAAAAGAGCAACGACCGACTGTTACGGACTAGAAAAAAACGAAAGAAAGAAAGAAAGAAGAAAAAAGAGGTTACGGACGGGCGTCCACTCGGAGTACAGCCACTTGCCGTGGGGGCACTCGGGCTGCCTCGTGCACTGTCTCTCGGTGATAGGCTGGCTGAGATCCAGGCAGTTAGCCGGCGAGAGCGTGTTGCGAAAGACCCGCAGCTCGTTCTCGCGGGTGACCAGCCGCTCGGGGAAACTCGCGCGCACACAGTACAACCGTCGTCGCTGGCTGCCCAGGCAGATTGGCGGCGCCCTGGCCACGCACCGCTCCCACATTCCCGGGATCCACGTGTACTCGCAACTGCCGGGGGAAAAAAATAAACACATATATATGATTTACGACCGTCGACTATTTTCGGTGGGGGACACGCTCAACGCTACTGGAGCTAAAGCGCGTTTTTGTTTTATTATCACGAAAAAAAAAAAAAAAAAGTCAAAAATGAGGATACGCGACACGTGTGGTGTGCATACTTACCTGGCAGTGTTGCACCTCTCGAGTTCGCGGTGTCCGGGGGGCTTGGCCACCACGAGGCACTTTCTGCGGGAGACCAGCTCCCGGGTGACCTCGTCCCGGCACAGGAGCTGCCTGCGCCTGAGGCCACCACCACAGCTGGCCGAGCAGGCGCCCGGGGGTCCCAGTAGCCACGCGTACCTGCCCCGAGCCGAGCGCAGCTCCGACCGAGCGATCGAATACTGCGACGAGACGGAGATGAGGGCGCCGGCGTGCAGCACCTCCCGCGTCGCCACCAGCTTGGCCCATTGGAAAATACACATACATGTACACACACTCAGGGCACGGACAAGGAGAGTAAAAGTAAAAAAAAAAGTGCAGTCACCGACACGACGATCTCCGAGGTGGCGGGTCCCCTGCTTCCGAGGACGTACTTCTCCTCGAGGCGCTCGAGCCTGAAGGCCGCACCGTCGAGCACCTGCACCGGCGCCCGGCCGTCCCCGTCGAACTCGCTCATCTCGTGTCGGCGCCTATCTCCGTCACGCAGGAGCACCTTGACGTTGCCCTCGTGCGGCACTGCGTCGCTCAGCAAAATTGTCACCGTGACCTTGATGTTGTACGCCAAGCTCGGCACCACAGCCAGCCGCGTCGTTTCTTCGATGATAAAAGGGCCACACCGACAATTGTCAATTTTTCAAGAGATAATAGATACCCTTTCGATATAACTAATCGTCAGCCCCGTACGCGCCACAACCAACGAGAGAGTCCCTCCCCCCTTAACGGCACAGGATTGCTATTTGGGGCAGCCACCCGTTGTATGATGCATGTATGACGTACCTCGGCGCAACTTGCGCTGAAAGTTGGCGGTGACGTTCTCGCAAGTGGAGTTGTTGCCACCGCAGAGCCCACAGGCGTCCTTGGTCATGTTGGAGTCGAGCGCACCGTCGCAGCCCATGGCCCGGCACTTGCCCTAAAACAGTAGACACGTATACTGTAAAAAAAAAACTACTCGTGGGTAGGGATGAAACTCACTTCGATGCAGACGTCGGTCGCTTCGTACGAGCAAGGGGTGCCGTCCTCGACGTCGAGGCCCGTGTGGAAGATCTCGCCCGACTCCTTCCTGTAGCAAACGAGCTGGCAATTGGGCGAGCCGGCAAATGCCTCGTAGGGCAGCCAAGTCCCGTTGTCCTGGAAGGGGCTGCTCTTGGGGTCGTTCACGTGCTCGTAGAAGAACCGGGAGCACTGCCTCGCCCGAAGATCGACCAGCTCCTGGCACGGGGGCACCGCGCACACTCTGTACTCGCGCGGCTCACCCTGGCACCTCCTACGACGCGCGTCACATTGGCACGTTGTTTGCTTATACGAGGATGGGGTATGACTGGGCGCGTTACTTACGAGCTTCCGCTGTTGCAGCGCCGGGACCTGGACTGCACGGCCACGCCACACGTCCTCGAGCACTCGCTCCAGGAGCTCCAGGGACCCCAGGTGCTCTCGCTGCCCCGTACGGCCGTGGACGGTGGAACGAAGCGCCGCTTCGGCTCGACCGTCTCGCAAGCTCCGTTCGTGCAAAACTGCAGTCGTATACCGTAGGTGTTTTTTTTTTTTTTTTTTTTTCCGGCAACGTTAATAACAGTGCGTAGATTATAAAGGTTTTCGTGGGTGACACATTTTGTAACAAACAAAAGTTTGATCGTCGGCGCGAATGGGCCAATTTAGTTACGAATAAGGAACAATTTAATATTTTCAGCGCGTTGAACTTTCCTCATTTTTACTAAAAAAAAAAAAACACCTTCTCCCCCCCAAAAAAGATACGCAAAGACAAACATCCCAGGGTTCGGTTAATTAAAAGCACTCGCCTTATTTTTGGCGCACAGTGTACCCTCCAGCGGCGGTCCCTTCTTAGTTTTACAGGCCTGCGAGCTGTTGGCTCGTCCGCACCATAGATGCGCGCAGAGGCTCGCCGGCTCCAGACTCCGACAGCGCCCGTATCTGTAAACAAACGAGCCTCCTCCTTCTCTATCGTAACAATATATTACGTACCCTACGTGCTATCATATCACATGCACACACATGGGTTTGGGAATTTTCAGCGCCGACTTTTATTTACTCTGGACTTGGCTGATGCAATGTTCCTTGGGGCCGTTGGTGTATTGCGGCGGGTGTTGTTGTAGGCGCGCTTGTTTCGTTAATCGCGTTTTCGAGAAGCCCCGGGTAATTATAGTGTAATGACGTTCTCGAACTAGGCGCGTCTACCGTGGCTCCATCCATCCATCTCCACGACATGACGAAACGGCTTGCAAAGCTTCCGCTTCAAAGATCGAGAAATTTCTTTGAGTATTTTTTTCCCCTGCTTTTGTTTCATCGTCTTCGAAATCCCAAACTCACGTCAAAGATCAAAATTAAATTGTGACCATTGGAACTTCATCGATGGTCTCCCTGACTTTCAGTCAGAAGCAACTATAAATCACACCACCCCGCCCTCAAAGTGGAGTTCAATAGCCAAGCGCGTCTTTATTGATTATCGCACGAGTTCGGTAACAAAGAGCGTCAGTTGAAAAAAAGTCCAGAGCAGGAGAGGAGCAAAAAAACGGTCCTAGGGTATACTTGGATGTCACTCTACAGTACACTTTCGTGGAAAATATCAATGGGAAAATTGGGTAAAGGTATATACGGGCTAATTTTTAGCCAAGCCACGTATGACATTAAAATTATGTGTACGCACCCCTCGCCGAATTCCATGCGGCACTGCTCGTCCATGCTGAACACCTCGTGGCCCTTGGCGATCGGCGAGTCATCGTCCCTCGGACGATTAGACAGGCAGGACCAGTGCCTGTCGAGTTGGGAGCAAAAAAAATCCATTTGTAGGAGTGCCAAAGTTATTTGAAATTTTTTTTTTTTTTTTTTGGGTAGTGCCTTAAATAGTAAAGATCGACGTACTTTGCTTTGCGATGGAATTCCTTCTTCGAACAACTCGACCAGTGGAAATTGTGAAAATTCGCCGCCACCTGGATCAGGTACAGGGAGGGACAGGAAAAATAAACGCACGTGTTTAAACGGAACATCCATTAAGTTGTACCCAGTTTGACATGTATGACTTTGCAAATTTTCAAATTCAATAAATTCATACGTATGTGTTGGGTCTTTACCATCGGTGCCATAATACTGCCTCGCACGGCTTCTCTCGCGCACGCGTTGCCCGAATTTTTGTCCCCATCGTGAGACAATCCCAATCTACGTCGAGAAAAGAGTTTTTTTTTTTTTTTTTTTTTTTTTTTAATCCGCCAACATTTTAGGGAAAAAAAACAAAAATAGGTAACAAGTACGAACATGTGAGCGACCTCGTGGGCAAGGATGAAGGCACTCGTGAGGCCCTCGTCGCGGTTGAGGGCGCAGGATCGCGATGGGTCACACGCACCCGAAACCGGAGCGTAGCCGGAGGGCCCGCCAATGTCCAGCCTCGTCAGCCACACAGCCACGTCGTGCGTCCGGTTCGACTGGGCCAACAGCTTGCGATTCCACCTGTTAACGTTCTCGAGCGAGCGACGCGCGTTACCCTGATGCACCTACACATACGCTCCAATTGTTTAACCAATTATCGTAAATACACAAGTCGATTGTTTAACGTTAGTTCCATTACCATTGCGTCCTTCTTTTCGGTGGACAGGATCATGCGAACGACCACGAGCTGCATGTTGGAGTCGAGGGACGGGTCCTTGTAAATTGCGCTCACCTACACAAAAAAAAAAGCAAAACAAAGCAAAGAGCGAGACTCGACGAGTCCCCTTTTTATTTGCCCCTCGACAACCCGTGTACCCCCACACATACACAAATGTCGTATACTCACGATGTTCAGGAGCGCCAAGATGTACCGCTGGACCCGCGAGCCGTGAAACTCGACGACCGAGTAATCGGCCACGACCGCGAGCTCGAGCCACTTTGGCGGCGAAAACTTGCCCGCCACCGTCGTCTTCCTAGCTGTTGCGACAAAAAAAAAAGAAAAGAAAAACGCGAGAGATACACGTTAGTGACAAGCATCGGGGGGAGCAGCTCCCTTGTTATTCGTCCACTCACTCGGCAGTTTCTCCCGCTGCCAATTCCTGTCGAAGAAGTACCCGAGCCCTTCCTCCGGCCGGTCCAGCTCGTTGTTCCTCCCAAGGCCGGTGGCCATCGACTCGCTCACCAGCTCCGGACTGTCCTCGTAGTTCTCCGCGTCGAGGGTGTCGCCCGTGAGGTTGTAGTATCGCTGGCTCGCCTCGTACAGCTGCGCCGCGGGTGCCACGTCCCGCCTACTCCTCGCCAGCCCGGCCTCGTACAGCAGATGCTTATTACCACCGCTGCCCCACGGCTCGAGCAGAAACGTCCGGTTCTCGAGGCGCACCAGCCCGAAAAAGTCCTCCCGGCAGCGCGTCAACAGCACGCGGGAGCCACCCTCCCACCCGTGGACCTCGCCCACGCGGCTCTCGCACGAGCCCAACGGCTCTACCCCGTCGTCGTACCCGGGGCCCGTCCACTCGGGCCTGAGCGAGGCAGAGAGGACGAGGTGCCGGTTGGGCTCGGTCTTGAGGAGCCACTCGTCGAGCGAGACAAACTCGATATTGTCGTTGGCGCGGGGCACGGAGCGCCGGTCCCGGGACACCTCGTTGTGGGGCACGACGCGCGGGTGGACCACTCGCGGGTACCTCTGGAGCGCGGTGCCCAAGGCGGCCAGGAGGACAACCGACGCGATCATCGTCCGCTTGTATCGCTCATCGCGTCGCACCGGGGACTACAAGGCACGAATCGTCCGACTCGGGAATACTATACTGTCGGTCATCGCATAGTTGGTCTCGATCGCGGCCCAAACGGCACTTGCGGTGAAAAGTACCGGCAAACATCGAACGCGCAACCCCCCGTCAGAGCATGTAAGTATATTTACTATTACCGAGAGTCAACGAGAACACCAAAGTACAAAAATCACGTGTCCGCTCGACTTGGCGCTCGCATCTCAACTTTGCGGGCTCGGCGGCCTGGTACTCGTCGAGACCCACCCGCCGAGAGAGAGCCAACCTCTCTCACGAAATTAAAAATAAAATCAACGCCGGCCCGCGTCGGACGGAAGAGAGAGAGAGAGAGAGAGGGACAGACAGTGCGGAGAGAAAGAGGCTGCACATCACGCGTACACCCATATATACATATGTGTATACACCCACAGCCTCCGAGAGCCTGTCGACAGACCCCCCNGCGTCTACCAAAAAAAAAACAAAAACAAAAAAAAAAGTCTAACTTGTAAGTAGTGTAAAATAAGATTATTAGAATCATTTTGACGGATATACATACAGTACATTAAATACGTGTAAGAAAAAAAAAAAAATTTCCTAATTGAGTAAGACACGCATAAATTTTGTTCACGCTTTTTTGAAAGAGACACGCAAATCGTAGGTGCATTGAATAAAAATAAATAGCAATGATGGATGCGACGATCGAGGAGATGCGACAATGAGATATATATATATATATATATATATATATGTAGACGAGAAGAAGAAAGAGGAGGAGGAATTTTTAAAGCGGGCCGAGACTCTTGGGGAATGAGTTCACAGCTGCTATACCGTGTAACACGAGCGGGCGCGTAAGTAAGTAGAGTCTGCGGCGTGTGTGTGTGTGTGTGTAAGCTTATTTCGTGTTTCTCGCGGGGCGTTCTAATAATGGCAGCTTTATGCGCGAGACGTTTAGCCTCGGTCGCTGTGCTTTCACGTATATACATATATAGAGCGGTCAGTGTTCTTTTGGCTTTACCCCACCCCCCACCCCCTTACGTGTGCGTCGGGTGCGAGATGCGTCGACGAGACGTTACGGTGCCACTGTAATATCACCTCCCTCTCTCCGCTATTGTCTCTTTAACCCACGTTGCGCATCTCTCTTGTTTTACTTTCTTTTTTTTTTTTTTTTTTTTCTTTTATTCGTGCGCTATACACTGCTCTTTCTATCTCGAGCGCTACTCGCCCTTCTTTTTTTTTCTCCCCTTCCATCGGAGACGAGCACTCCGGCTGTGTGACGTTTCAGAAGCAGAGGAGACATTTGGGACGCACAAAATCTTCTTTTTATTTTTTTCAGAATTTTTTTTTTCACAGCAGCTCAGCTGTGTTGGGTGAAACGTAACAATATAAAATGGGGCGGTGGATCAAATTATCCCGACACTTGTGTGGTACATTAATTTACAACGTAAACGTAAAATACGCAACTGCATGCTTTTTGCTGCCGCTCTCGTGCGAAAATCACCATAACTTTGCTCACTTGTTGGACGCTTGTTGCCCTGAGGGCCAATTGTTCAAGATCCGAATCAATCAAACCGATCGAGATCGATGAGTGACGACGAACCGTCACGCACACCGAGCAAGTATATATACCCATTTAAAAGGAACGAGCATCGCCGCGGTCGAGAATTAAATTATCCCTCGTGGGGCTATATACACTCGTGGCATTCCGCAAACGCGTCTCGCGCTCAATTATAAGCTTAATAGGGGCTGCAGGTTCTCCAGTTGTGCACGTCGCGATGCGCGTTGCGACGTCACGCGTCTCTGGACAAAGGCGTTGTCGATCTCTTGAGCGCGGCAGAAAACTGTGTACTTATATGCACCAAATGCCAGACTAGACGAGTGACAGGGCCGTATCGCGATAGTGGCGTACACCGTAGTATGTAGGTACACGAAACCACAACTTGACGAGGCTCGGAGCGGAGAACCCGAATCTACCTGACCCCAAGGGAACCGTAAATATTAACACTTTTCCACTCTGATGTGACTTGCTTCCGTAACATGACTGGCTGATTTTTAACTTTTTTTCATGACCATTCGTATTTTCTTTTCATTACGTGCCGGTGGAGTAGTGCTCATGGCTCCAGAAACAATCAAATTAATGATTCATCGACTGTTTAACCAGCGCTACCGAATCTGTTGAAGGTTTTTTTTTCCGGAAACGATTGACATGGATCTGTTAAACAACGCGTCTGATGGATCAATTTGAGTGTTTATTTATTATTCTTGAAGGTTTTTAGGAAGCATTCACGATATTGGGGACGTACAGCGAGTTACTCGAAAATAAGTTGAAAATTCGGTCTGTCGAGGAAACGAAAAGACGTGAGCTGCTCGCCGAAAGCCCATTTTCCATTTTAGCTTGGTATTCATAATTGCCGTCGAATCATCCGACGTCGAGGTGGCCAAGTGGCCTTTTCAGCTCGTCGAGTGGCTATACATTATATAGCTCCGACTACACGAGATCCGAGAGACTTCGTATGGACTTTTTTTTTGTCTGGGAATGATTGTTTTATACAAGAAAAGAGGGGGAAAAAAGAATAACAAATACGAAAGATTTATTTACAAAACAATTTTATACATTTATTGATCCGTTTGGTTAAATGTCATTGAAAAAATGTACACTGTGTATACGCCCGTGGCGTGATTATTCCGTATTCTTTTCAACCGCACTAATCATAAAATTAACGATCACCTCGGATACACCGAAGCTTACATATATATCACACTCAAAACGTTGAAAACATAATCATTCGAATGCCCAGCGACTCGCATAATAATTGGAAATCAATATAGTATATATTACAGGTAGGGCTGACCTGATAGATATTGTCGCGATATAATTATACCATGGTAAATGCAAAAAAGTGAACGCGAAAACGTACTTACATAATGAGTACAAAACTCAAACAACCGCAACGGATGCAATGGGAGGAAGGTAAGAGAGCTCATTTCTTGTATTATTGTGCTCGTCGGTGTTATTTATAATGGGATGTCGAAGGAGAGAGCGTGTCACGATGGGTAGAGGGTGAATGTGAGTAGTATCTGGATGGCGAGGGCGAGAAAGAACTCGAGCTCTTTGGCGAATATGTCCTGGCCTTGGCCACTGCCGGTGTTGCAGAGCGACCAGTCGCAGCACGAGGTGCACGAGTAGAGCTTGGTGCGCTCCCCGATGACGATGCAACCGGGCTCGCACTTGTTCGTGCAGTTGCGCTCCATGCCCCACATCATCGGCTCGGACGTCGAGTTTTCCGTGCTCGTCGTGTACGAGAAGCGCTTCACCTGGCCGGGATCAAAGGCTTTTTTTAGTAAGTATTGTGCAAACTCAACTCCACGAATTTATCATCGGCGACTCGATGGAAAGAAAGTGCAGTCCACATTTTTTGGAAGAAATACTCGTGTGTTGGCAGGGAATTTATGAATTTTCCGGGTAACCTACTTTTCTCTTTTCTTTTTTTTTATCAAGAGCCAAGCAGCTTTGCAGCTTTGGATTTTTTTTTTACTACGCTGAATGTAATAGCAGTGGAGAAGCTTGAGAATTAAAAAAAAAAAAAATTATGTTCCCGAATTGGAAATGTTACTTTCTTTCTCCCAGCCGTCGATTTCTCGTTACTTATAAGATAATTATTTGTAATTCTATCAGTAGATAGCGAACAAACAATCATCAGTTACATAATTTGGTTACTAATGAAAGAATCGATCCTTAATCAAAGAGAAAAAAAAAAAAAATCATCCAGTAAACGAAATGAATCGTACCATGCACAGGCGTTTGTCATCTTTGCACTTTTGCATGAGGTGACTGTCGTTACCGGCTAGACTGACGCACGTATCGCCCTCGTCAATAGTGTCGCAGCGATAGCACCACAGGTCATTTTTACGCTCCGAGGCTGCATGCGTCCTGTGCTCCTTGGACGTCAACTGACCTATAACATTAGACAATTTATTGCTCCCATCACCATCATGATTGAATAACAATTTCATTGGGCTTTTATCGCTCGTTCTCTCCCTCGACATTCTTGTACACGCATCGTATTGTTGACAAATAATATTTCCTCGATAAGGAAACTATTTTTTCAATTTATTTTTTGCAAGAAGATAAGCTCTCTAGTTTTTCGCTTCTCTTTAAAAAATTAAAAGCGACACTCGTGACACACATTTCGAGCTATGAATTTTTCATTCAAATTTATGAATAAATTGCGAGTTTGTTTGAAAAAAAAAAATATCCCCATCGTATCGACCAGCTGAACACACTCTGTGGCTCACAAGAGTTCGCCAACGTTAAAGGAAAAATCAATTCCCTTTTCCCAATGCCTTCGGCGCGTGACGGAAAAACTTTCGTTTTCCTATCGAGCACACGACACGACCAACGAGAGAAATCGATCGCGGAAGAAAATTCGAAATTAAAAAAAAAAGCAAAACGACAATAACAAACAAACAACTACATTCCACGGGGTGAAAAAAAAAGCACGGGTGCACCCAAACGCGGGGAGAAAAATCTCAGACTGGCGTCCCAAAACAAACACCATCCCTCCCACGCGCAAACGCGGGTAAAACACATAGGCTCGCTGTGCACCTTGTAAAACTCAATAATCCCGGGTGCAGGTGAGCATACACGGAGACACTTACCATTGCCGCTGACAGAGACGGCGATCGCCACGAGTACTATGAGGAAGGGCAGATGGTAGCTATCCCACGGTGGCATCTCGTCCGTCAGATCATCTCGGGTCCAGAGGGGTAACAACAACAAGTCCAACCAACGATATGCCCAGCTCCTCGCACACAATCGCCACCGAGCTCCTACCCACTACTGACACTTCCGATGCTGCGCGCCGTCGCCATGTTGCCCGCACACACATCATGATGTATCATCCCCCTTTCGCTGGCGCATGCGCGCCGAACCGTCGCCCCTTTCACGCTTGGCGCCACAGCCCCTTCGTAGATACACCATATACATGCGCGTGAAAAAGGGGCACGAGCAAATTTAGGAGGAGGCTATACCCGCTGGACTTGTTGCGCGCCTCTGAGCTACATCGGGGGGAATTATAGGGAGAGGGGGGGGGTGGTGGCCTTCGCTCCAGAGACCCGGAAATCGATTTTCAGCTGTACCCCCCGTACAGCAGCGCCACGATTCACTTGCGTGGCTGGATCTCCTTTGAATTCCGGGGGTTGGGCGCAGTGTGTGTATTTATAGGTGGCAAGAAGGGCTTGCGGGACGCCCTGCATTTATGTACATACCCTCACCCGACTCATCCAGTTACGAACCGTATATACCGATTATTTTGTAATAGGCATACAACGAACGGAGCTGACCTTGCTGGTGGGGTGTATCCTTTTGATATTTTTAATCGACAACACTCACCACTGTGCTGCTCGTACCAAAGGGTTAATCAATCTCTTTTTGTATATGTATATACGTATTGCCGACTGAATGGTCTTCCCCGTAGAATGCGTGCGAAAAACATCATCGCAACATGTATGCTGTATAGTTGTTCACCTATATGGGCAAAAGTGGGATTATCGATCGGAGAATGACCCCCTACTCCTCCTCGCATCCTCCGGATAACTCTATTTCGCCGTCAGCGAGCGCGTGTATACATAAATACACCATACCGGCCTCCATCTCTCTCTCTCTCTTTCTCTGGTGTTCACGGGCTACTTACTCCGTGCGGGTAATTTATACCGCCCGTGAGTATTATTTTTACCGCCCTCCGGCTGGTATGGAAATCTCTCGGCTCTTCCTTATTTGCTCGTATGATCCGTCTTATAAGCGGATTTGCCATTTTTATTCCTCGAAACGCCCCCATCTATAGGAAGACTTTGTCAAAGCCACGAGGTGTCGATGTACGTATCTGTATTCATTGGAGACCCGTGAGCAAATTCGGAGGATCCAACTCTGCTCGGCGATAGGTGATGAAAAAAAGCTTTTCCAGCAGTCCATACGCACCTTTTGGTAACACGTGTACAGCTATACACTGCACGGACGAAGGATGGCTCCATTGTGTAGGCTCGTGGAATTGAAAGCTTTGGAGTAACAGGGTTTTATTTTGAAAGATCGAACGGTACATTACAGGGGTGGGGTGCTTTCATCTGCACCTGATGGTCATTTATTTAATTGAACCTTATCTCTAATATATACATATATATATATACCTATGTCAATTTTCCACGCGGGGAGAACGTAGTTTTTTTCTTTTTTTTTTCTACTTTGGTGCGAGCGAAAAATTCATNTTTTTTTTTTTTTTTTTTTTTTTTTTTTTTTTTTTTTTTTTTTTTTTTTTTTTTTTTCACTCCACGAAAGAAAAAAAGCATTGTTCACCGACTCGGTTTTTTCAGAGCCACCAGCGTCGGAGGAAAAAAAAAATAGATAAGCGGAGCGTCAGCAGCGATAAGCCGCTTGAAAAATTACAGTTCCACCATCGCGGCAGGAAAAAAGCGACTGTATTTTATTTTAATTTAGCAAAGCCATACCGTATATATACCTAGTAGTAAAAGGAGAGCAAGAGAGTTGCATCGTAATGAAGTCACGGACCGCAGGGCCGAACGATAGCATGACCGTCCTCGACCGCGACGTATACGAGGGATGATGAGGAGAGGGGGGATCTCCTTTTCTCTCCTTTTTTTCATCATTCCTCCTGATGTATACCCTCCCGAACGAGTGAATAGGAAGAGAGTACCTGTAGTGCCCGGATGAGCTTGATTGTCAGTGCGGCTAAGCTCCTGCTCGTCCCTTCCTCTGCCCCGGACGGATGAGGCTAGGGGGCTACTGTTGCGTGTTATTGAATCACACACGTCTACCTCGTGCTTACGACGATTTCTGAAAAACGAGGCTGATGTACGGAAAGCGATGGAAGATGGACAGCACATACCTTTCGAGGCAAAAGGGATTCTTTGAATATTTTTGCGTTGCCCATCGGCTACTCGTTAGAACCTTTTGAGGAAGAAAGCAGTAATGGACATCTCATTTTCCATGCACAAAAATCAACGGTTGTTTCTTCATCTAAGAAATAACTTGAAAGTCATTTACACGGTTCAAAATTTCCGTTGGAGCTCGCGTGGAGGCAAAATCCTCCGTGGATGTCGTACGCGACGTAACCGCTGAATTTTGGGTGGCCGAACGTGACTGGAGTCCCGAATCGCTTCGCGGTAAGCGCTCACGCGACATTTTAAACTCGACTACTCTTTCGGTACACCTTACAGCGCACCTCTGTCGATAATCGTAAATCCTTTGAGGGTGAAAAAAAAAAAAAAAAAAAAAAAAATTGATTTTTCAAGCGCTACGTGACGATGATACGTATATTTCTGAGCGCGAGCAGAAATTGCCGCGAGTTCCATTTCCAACGCGAGGTTGAGAGAGATGCTGTCGGCTAACGTGAAAAATAACGATGAGAGATTGCACTGCTTTCGTGTATAGATAGAGGGGAAAAATCAGTAGTACGAGTCGAGTTGGGTCGAACGGTCGATGGAGTACACGTTGAAGATGAGCCACTGAATTTTTCAAGCTCGAGCGATGATCCATCGGTAACAGGAATAATCCAAGGACGTTCCCTGGGAGAGTCACAGAGATCTGCTCTCCAAAGCCAGAAATACCAAATTCTTTCAGTTGTACTGGTTTTTGTTGTATACGTGAGGCTTTAAGGTACAATATGTTCCACTAGCGCGTCCGCGTGCACTTCAGCGCGTGCGTTCACGTTACTCATTGGCACAGTAACCTGAGGAACTTTGGTCACTTGGAATGACTAAATATCTATTTTCAACACTCCAATATCTTACAAATTAGCTTATTGTACCAAACAGAGCCCAAAAAAAGTAGTGGTGGTTGCTTGATGAAAAAAACATTTGAAGTATCAAGACCAGCTCTCATGTATACAAGAAAGAGAATAGTGGGAAGGTGGTGTTTAACATTGATCAGAGTCGGGCATGGTCCTGGGGCTTCTCGGGACTCGATCCTTTTTTCCCTTCGAATAAAAGGGAAATATACATATATACTTCTTGGGAACGGCTAATTAGAAGGTTTGCCGAGAACTTTGGGAGGGTTGTGAAATTTTATACGACGCACCACCCGTGCAAACACTTGTGCCGGGGAGGGAGGAGAAAAAAAAAAAAAAAAAAGTAGACATCAGCAATTACGGGTTGAAGACCTGCTCTGATAATTGTGTTGGCTCAATTCTCGACTAACCGTTGGCTCTGCTTCTGTTTGCCCCCTCCCAACTCGTTGCCGAATCCACTTTTAAACTTTCAACTTTCTTTCGGAGTCTCATTTTCAGACCATCAAATTGGTTGAGCATTTGCATTTGTTTGAACGCGTGGTGGTACGTGATTCATCCGAGTTTTTTAAGTAAAAGACAAAAAAAAAAAAAAAAAAAAAAAAACATAAAACCAGAATACGTATCAGTAGATACTTGGGTACCGCTGCCCTCATGATCCACGTATACACGTTGTATTCCAGTTTGCTCGCCATCGGATTAAACCTATGATTAGATGTCGTGGCGATCGGGGGCTGAACTTACGTGCGATCAAATTGAAACGTACAGTGCACGGCCATACGGTACACTTGATAGTAGATACACCAGGGGGTGACGGGGGCGCGTCCGAGCCCTAAATTCTCGCCCGAGTCAACGTAATATACCGGCTCGTGGCAGCGGAATATCTGGTAACCGAGCGCGGCTCGTGCCCAGGTGCTAATGGTGGTGCAGGAGAAGGAGGCCGGTGCGCCGCACCCTCATCAAGCGCGTGTGGGAGCAGGTGCACGGCCATGTGGGTAAAACGTAAATCAGCCGAGCGAGGGTTGAAAGTTCGGACTCCCTCTAGGGAAGGGGTTGGTTCTAGCTCGTTTCTCTTCCTCCTTTATCGTGTACCTACATATTACGCAAAGGAAATTACGCTCCGGTTTGCGGACGGTATATCGAGTTTACCGGCTTTATTGTGTATATTATGTGTATATTTACGCGTATAGGTGCCGCTGCTCCGGCTGGGCTTGGCGCGAATGAAATTTTGTTTACGGCCCGCGGGGCGGCGATTGAAATTTATCGGCTCCGATGAGGCAGCGCTTTTCTTTCCAGAGTTTTTTTTAAACCTATTCGCTATGGGTTGGTTGGGAAGTCGGGAACAACGAGGACACAGCCCTAATGAGAAATATGCCGTAAACGTATGCAGAAAAATAACTACGATTTTCAACCTCGAATCGTCTCCGGCGTAAAACTAAAAGGTATATCGTGTGATGGAAAAGGAAACTGGACGGAGAGGAAAGGAGGGTTTTTGCGTGGCCCGCTTTCCACACTCGAAATCCCATATCTTGCGCTCATTGGTTCGATATTTTCATCCTCGAAAACTATCAAATAAAAAGTGTATGGTACAACATCATTTAGCATCTAAAATTTGACTCGTTCACTCTTTTAATAGCAATTCAGCTCGTAATTGATAAAAAATTGAGAAAGGCAGCTACCAGTGGTTTAAATTTAAACTAATTGCCTGTAGTTTTCGACCTCTATTTTACTCTGCTACTGGAGCTTAAACGAAAGCTCGTACTTTCAAGTGCTTTCGACTACTTTCAAAGCGAATAATCCCCACTTTATCGAAATGAACATTTTCTTTCTTTTTTCCTCTTTCTGAACCTTCCTACTTTAGGTATGTTTTTCGAGGCTCGTAATGAAGGGTGTGCTCTTGGAACGAATTAAATGAGTCGGATCAAGCTGGAAAAATCAACTTAAAATGAGATCTCGAATCTGCAAGTTATAGTAAACATATACCTCGCATATATATACATATATGTATATTTGCAACGTCGTCAAATCAAAAGAGGCACAATCACCCGTATCTACAGACTTCATTTTCGATATCATTTGTCCCTTATTCCCTAAAGGGAGCATAAGCGCCCATGTAAAAGAAAAAAGTACCGAGCGTATAATAGATCACTCAAAACTTTCCAGACACACCTCTTTCCTTTCTTTCTTCTTCATACACCACCATTCCTTCTCTCAAGATGTGAGGGTGTCCGTGACCTCGTGCTTGTCCGAGCCTTATCATTAGGATGTAACAATAGCAGCCACCTCCCTTCGCTGATATTATGTCGCGAGGCATTTTTTATCATCGCAAGGACGTTCGTGTAATTGAGCTTCCAAGCTCCTTATCCCCTTTTGCTCTTCTATTTTATTTAACACGGGAGATGTGTGACTGGCCTCTAGCGTCTCGTCAAAATGCACCTTTCTGGAGCCTTTGTTTGTCATTAGGCGTGGAGCCGTGACCAAAGATGTATGGCCCATGGAAAAAACAAAGTTTTTATGTCAACATACCAGCGGCTTGGGGAAAGAAGAAGTTACCTTCAAGTTCATGGGGTGAAAGTTTTTTGTTTCAAGTATTATCTGTAATTGTGAGAAAATTTAAGCTATTCCCATATGGTGGATGGTTATACGTTCAAAAAAGTTTAATAATGCCCTTACACTGTGAAACGTATTCGCGAGTCAATACGACAAAACAAGAATTTTTTTTTTCTCCGCACTAGGGGAGGTAAATCCGAATGAAAACGCAATTTCGCTCGAATAATCTTACCACGATATTTGATGTGTAAACATAATACCCACACAAACGTATCGCTTGGCGTTGGTGCACTGTTGTGTATGGTGTAAAAAAAAAAGTCAGAAAATATCTCTACCGGATATCTCCGATTGATACACCAGCTATTGTTGTTGATTCGGGATTCCGATTCTTCCGGTACAACCTCTGCTTTCTTTCAACACTTGTTATGGTGTTGGATTCCATTATCTCGGGTATACTGTGAATTTCCCGCGAGAGATAAAAGTGCTCACCCCTCTTTACTTTGTTTTTACCATCAAAAATGCAAAAAGTTTTTTTCACACGAAGGACACTGAACCGAAATTTTATTTGACATTTAAATGAGGTCAGGATCAACGCTCTGTCTACGAAGAAGATGATAGGGGGAGAAGGATACTCCCAGAAGCCATGAAACGACGAACGAGGGGGTAAAATGGATATAAAAAAAAAAATTTCAACGCGATAAAAACTAAATTTTCTCGTTCAACTCGCGAGGGTTTTGATGCGCCCGTCCTGTGGGTATCGAAATAATAAGCAAACTCTACCCCACTTCTTCTTTCATTCACGTATCCATATACCGTGTAGTAATGTCCTTTCGGCGTTTCTCCCCGACGAATTTAATTTTCTCGCAACTGTCGCCTTTTTCCCTCTCCCTCCTTTACAATACATTATGTCTCCCGTGCACGTGTAACATTCACCACCAGAGAAAGCCAGGTTGAATTCGAGTTCGGTCTGTATTCTATCATCGGCAGGAGCGTAAATATACAACCACACACCACGACAGACAAGCATGTACTCTAGTACAACTGTCATTTGGTTGAAATACTAAACCACCCGCAAAATTATGGCCCGCAATTCACGTGAAATTAAAATGGATTCTCCCCCGCGACCCGCTGGCTGTAATTTCGTTAAATTTTATTATCGCGCAACAGACGTCGGTGGAGACGCTCCTCCCTTCCTCTGGGGGGTACTAATGCAATTTCGGTTAATGGAGAGGGGCTCCCCGCGTATTAGCGCGAGGAGCTGTTTAAACGCGCCCGAGTTTGCTGGGCGAGGACAAACAAGAGCTAGAGGCCAAACACCTACTCCGACCCTCCCGTATTCGCTCCTCTCGCCAAGCTATACGGATAAAACAAATGAAACAAAAAAAAAATAAATAAATAACTTTGCAAAAGGCCAAAAGTGAAACAATAAACTGCAAAGCGGTCGTTTTAATTGGCGGAATACAACGTCATTTCTCCATTTCTGTCCATAGCGAAAGCTCCGGGGGAACTTTGGTCCGCCTCGATGCTCCTTGGATGCGAATCGTTTCTCAACTGCTGAGCGCCGCTTGATGATCTCAAACTCGCCGTTAACGTTGAATTTGCGTAAGTATAAGTATATCCCACAAGCGAGTTTCATCTTGTAGTATATTCCACGGCGGTGGTTAGAGCAACGGGATGAAATTTTCAGTGGGACTTGGGAGCACGTCGAGCTTGCAATTGATTTGCGTGCAGCAACCGCGGCTTATTCTATTCATCCTGTGGTGTATACAACAGCGCGACAATCCTCCCGAGGACGCTTGGATGTAATGATACCTGTGCGCAGAGAAAACCGCACTCTTGCGCGTTGCGTGTACGTGGTTACGGTGGTGCTAATTTGAAGACGCGAGGCTGACGAGTAGGGCGTATTTTATCGGTGTTGGCCATTTTTTTTTTCATACAATGCTTCGGTACGCTTTTACCACTACGTGCCGTCAAATGGTGGTCGGCGTGGCTATCGAACTGCAGTGCCAATAGTACAATCATCCTTTACACCTTGGCACGTGAAATAAAGTACAAAAATGTAGTAAAAATCCTGCTTAACTTGCCACGATGGATTTTTATTTTTTTGGACAAACAGTCAATTTATACGTCACCGAGTGGTTGGCTTGCACCAACCTTGAAAGTCTGACTTACCTTTTTAAAAGAAAAATGAAAATTACAAAAATAATGAACAAAGACAAATGAATGTCAACCGCGGCGCGTCTCTACGTACGTATACGAGTGGATAGGAAAAATGGCACCTCGAGCCAACGCTGTCCTCTGGCGCTATTGGAGCTGTATACGTTCGTGTCAAACAGCCTCCTGGAGATAAGCTCGTATAATGACCATTCGGTGGTCCTGCAACCCGACGAATCGCTATACACCGGCAAAGGTACAACGGTCCTCTGCCCCTTTGTCCAAGCTTTTTGCCCCGAGTAACGACGTCCGCGGCGCGCGCGCGCGCTATATGCCACATCATAGACACGCACCCAATGCAGAGAGGGAGCGAGACGGTATGCCCGGCTGGCAGCTCTCGAAGCTCCTCGCGCGCGCCAGTTGATCTCGCCAGTTACGATCCGACTCTGCCGGTCGACGCCGGTGCCTCCACTTTCCTCGGGTTATCGCGCGCGTGTGCGGGTGCGCGAGTGCGCGAGTTGTGCGCGACCTTTTTTTTATTTTTTCCCTCCTAAACCTCTTTACGTACGTGTAGATTGGAAGTGGTACGGGACGGCAGGTGTGCATCTAAACGTGTGTACCCGCTGGTGGATCTCGTTACAGCCACCCTTTTGTGGGGGGGGAAGGGGGTCCGGCCCCCTTTCTCGCGCGCCAAGTGATGCTTGCCCGATACAGGGCGCACGCGACAAACGCCTGATAACTGCATTCACGGTCACGGTATCCCTTGGTGGGTCTTACTTCAATCTCTGTTTTTTTTTTTTCACGTTTCCTATCTGCTCGTGTCCTTTTTTTTTTTTTTTTTTTTTCAAAGACAAGGACATGGATGTACAATTTAGATGATACGTATTTGATCGCGGCTTTGCTCTTTATGTGTGCTCGATTCGGCGTGGTGGAGGAACAAGTTGATTTGTTTGCCTTTCGCGTGCATGTGAAATCGATCGGAAGGGAGAAGCTCGAGCTGCATTGGGGGATCGGCTCTGGGAATTATCATCGAGCCGATGTGTCATTTCATGAAGTTTACTGTGTTGGATATTCATATTAAAGTGGTCATTTTTGCATCAAGTGTTTTTTTTTTTTTTTTTTTTTAATGCATGTGTCGTCTTGTGTTCCGGCTGAAGTACCACGCAATGCGAGCTTTCAGGGCTTTTGAAAAATAAAATCATCATTTCCGTGTAAGACTTGGTACACGGGTGCAGTTACAATAGGTAAATGGCCACTTAATCCAGTGGCGCTCGTATTTCAAGTCTAAGTATGCATGTAACACGCGTGAGACTAGGTCAATAAAGCCTCCAAACTTATAGTATACAAATGTAAATATGGTGTGAATGTAAATTATGTGAAAACAACATAGTTTCTTGATTAGTATAGTTAGGCTGGATGTTTCCAAAAGCTCTGTATTATTTCCGGAATGTAATTTATATGAGAAATAACCAACGGTCGCGCAAATAAGATCCAAAATACTGGAATAAATAAACAATCGACCGAATTCGATGGAGCGAGCCAGAAAATGTTACTTAGTGCCGCTGGAGAATTTTTTTTTCTTTCACTATGCAAGCCACGTACAAGAAAAACATCGTTCCAACGCCGTGGAAAAAGACCCCCGCGAGTCGTTCCCTGAAACATTGTTTGCGAGCGTGTTCTGGAAAAACAGCGGAGTCGAGGGGAGCGAGAAAAACACGGCGAGCCCATATACATATACGTATAGTCCCGCGATATTTTCGAGCTCACTATAGAACACTGCTTTTTCGAAACAATAGACATCACAGGGTGAGCTCGAGGCGTGACGGACGTGCTAAAAATACCTTAAGTTCTCCTCCCCCGACTTTTCACACGAGTACGTAGGCCGGCTTTCTTCTTCGCGCGATTATGTCGAGTATTTATTAATTATATGACCGTTTATCGGTTTTCCATACAATAACAGCTTGAAAAATCACCACGACTACGGTGCGTGCGCAGTTTTCCACGAACTTTTGACGTGAGGTCGGACGCTGGATTCCGCAACATTTTGCAATAACCCAACTGCGAGCCATTAATTAACCAAAGAAAGTTTGATGAGGGCAAAAAATGGCTATGTGTCGGGAAACAATAGTGTTTCTTTGGTGAAAAAAAAAAGAATAGGTAACATTACAACAACTTTCGAAACAATGCCGACAGAGAGATGAACTCGAGGGGAGGAAAACGACGAGGCGAAAGTAAAAGGGCCGTAAATTACGTGCGCTACGTTTACCAAGTGTCGCGAGTATACCCGGCCTCCTCCCCATTATTACAAGCAAAGCTCCTTACGCGAGCCTACGGACTCCTTAGCTCTCCCGAACGTAAAGGCAGACATGACCCCTACGGCAGCTATCGATCGGCGGTCACGGGCCAATACAACAACGGTAGACCCCTCGGGGGAAGCGGAAATCAGTGCCAAAACTCGGATAAACTCCGCTAGCCTTGCATACTTCCCACCGCTGGAATCCAAACGATTTAATTAAGATCACCCGGAAAAAAAAAAGTAATAATAATCCCTCGATCTTTTAAGTAAGTTCAAAGCCAGCCGACCGACATACTTCCATCCGGCTCGTCCCGTCGAGCTTTTGGTGACGTCAACCGGCCAAAAGAAACCGGCCCAGCTCCTCGTATATCTGCAATATGCTTGCATACACGCGAGAGGAGGAAGCTGCAACGACAGATAGACGCGCTCGCTTTTGAATTCGCCGAGACTGCGTCGAGGAGATAATGACGCGTAGGCCCGTGTACATGTATATACGCCGTGCGGCTTGCAAGCTTCCAGAACGTGTGCCATTAAAGAATGAAATATATAATGTCGTTCCGTGCTTATACGCGTACGTTGTATGAGTCGTGCGATCGATGTGTTGTTATTTAAAATGTAATGTTTTATATGCTACGGGTAAAGGGGAAAAAAAAAAAAATTACCAAAATTACGTAAATGGAGTCGGGAAAGGAGTTCGCGTATAGTTCTTAGTCGGCTTGCGTACCTCGCTCGGGTGGTTCAAAGGCTTTGCGCTACCGCCTCCTCGTATGATGTACACACGCGTATCTAATGCACCTTTCGACCGTATGTATGCATGAATTCCGAAGTAGCACGGCTTAGTCTACAAAGGAACACTCGATACGCGTGGATTTTTCCCCTCGAGTTGGTCGATGCGCGTGTCGTACCGGCCCTTTGGGGACTGCATGCATGCATTACAAATGGTGGAAATGAAAAAAAAAAAAAAATTTCAACAGATAAAAGGTACAAATAACAACCTTCGGTGTCAATCCGTGGGGGAATCGAACCGCGGCAAAGCAAAGCCTACGGTACAGTAACGCATATATTCAAACAGCCGTGATGGAGGGAAGGAAACAAGTGTGACAGTCGTCGGGGTGTACGATGATATTTGCAAGTTTAGCGTTGACGGCAGGAAAAGTTGGCGAGTCCACCGGTGCCGGAAGATGTAAGACTCAAGCTCCGCGAGTCCAAGAGGCGTAGCCGTTCTCCCTCGCATCACACAAAGGTAAGCTTTTGAAACTCTCATACTTGCTTGTTGTATATACGCGTAAGATAAGGATTGTATACAAAAATGTACGGGTATAATACAAGCACCATCAGCTCTGCAAGGAGACTCCAAGGCAATTGGATGACAAGTCCGTGTTTCCAAGCGTATGTGCATTACGCAATTGGAGCTCTCGCGCGTATAGTGCACGCGCGGCACGCAATTATGTATTATGCGCACGTGTGAGAGACGGTGAAGCTCAACGAGAGATGGAGAGCCGTGGATTGGCCTCGCGGTCGTGGTGACTGTTATTTATCCACGAGGCGCTTGGCTGCGATAAAAATACAACCCCGAGCGAGAGAAGACTCGCCCCTTCTCCAATAGATCCACGAACCTTTTTTTATTTTACAACGGGACGCTTCCGGTATATCGTTTGCTCCACACTGGGTGTAATGGCTCTAATCGAAAAATTACCTCCGCGCTCATCGCGCTCCAGAAATAGTCTTTTACCATTCAACTGAATATTTTCTCGGCTTCTATTCCGTGCTTCTCGTTCCGTTGCACGGGGAGTAACAGGTTGAGCTGCTCTTATCGAACATTTTTATCGTTCGCGTGCATGACTATAAATAGGCACACGAGTTTCCCGGGGGGAGCCTTGCAGTGGGAAAAGCAACTGGATGACGCACGAGGAAATTCAAATTTGAGCTCGATACGGATGCAACGGGGATTTTTGCCCTCGTCCGTACAAGGTTTTTATATAAAATAAAGGTACTTTGATTTTCGTCACTCACTTGCGCAGACTGCCGTTTGTTTCAAAATGTCAGCGAGAGAGAGAGAGAGTTTCCCGTCATCGCATTGGATTTCGTTGTCATTGTAGATACGCGTATACATGTAAAGTCGAAAGTGATAGAGGGGGGGGGGATCTGAATAAATTTAATCGGATCGACGAAAATTGGTAGTAATAAACCAGTAATGGATTCGGCCCGCCCGGAAAATCAATGGAAAATCTTTGCTGATCCGTGCATGCTTTCTCTGATGAATTTCAAAAAGTGCTCGAGAGTGGATTTTTCTATGCGATCGTATACCTATACATATATATTTATACGCGCGATTCGGGGAAAAAGATCGGGCAAGAATCGATTGCCCCCCTATTGTGTCCCTACTTTGCGCACACGCTCGTAACAAGGCGCTTTTTGTACGCTTGTTCAGTCGTTGCCGAAGCTCATGAATTATTTAGGTTTTTATTTCATCTCCGCCTCGACAGAGACGTTCTTCGGAACACCCCGACTCATCTATTTCACCGTTACTTCAATTGCAAGCCGTTGAACGAAACATCACGGTAAATACGATATGCATTTAACAAACGTGTAATTATGATGGTGTTTATTCGGTAAACACATTGTTGTATGGTTACACAAATCCGTCGGTCCGTCCGATCAATCGTATTGTTCCAGAGTTACTTGATCCTCTTAGCGGAGCCCCATAATCTAAATCGAACGAGCAAAAACGTCATTTCCGCGCAGCGAGACAAATAACATACGCCACTTCCGCGGAAGCTCGAGAACCCGTGCGTGAACCAATGGGGGAGCCGAAGCACGAATTCAATACTGGAAATTCACATCGACAACCGCTTTTGCATCTGATCGCAAATAAGGTACAGGCACACGCTGGCAAACCCGTGCTACTTTCAATATGGGCGCGTATCTACCGATTGCCGCCTCCGTGCATCAGCCGTGCAGTTAATTCGCGGTTAATTGCGCGCGCGCACGTGCGTGTGCACGAATATTCTAGTGCAGCACCGATGAGGTATATACGTGGCTTCGATAATCAGCAGCTGATGCGCTACGGCTACAGGCACTCGCAACTAATTTCCGCGACGGGAGAGGATGCGATTTTTACAATTGATGAAAATGACTCGGGAGTTGGACCCGTGCTTGCGAGCCCCTATTTTCTAGGGAGTGCTGGTTGGTCGAGTACTCCCCGAGAGTAGCCGAGGTTAATAAATACACTCAGCCAGTGGAGGTCGCATGAAGGCTTCCCGCAAAGAGGTGGTCGAGCGGTGAGCTTTTGGTACCTAATGTTAGCGCAACTATTGCCGCAGATTGCCATACACTTTGAATGCTATCGATACTCTGTCCATCTTTTGACGCTTGATATTTATTTTATTGTCGATTTTTTCACATTTAGAGTGGATATAACTGTACGTAGTAATCATACGCCCGAGTGTTTGTTCGGTGCGTCGACAAATTATGATACGTGTGTTCGAGAACGAAAATTCGCGCTAATCGAATTAACATTTTAAACGAGCACGCCACGCTTGAGTATTCAAAGCGAAGAATCCTCACACGAAGGGATGATGAAAATGTAACGGTAGAGGCCTGTATGGAGAACCAAAGCTTTACACCATGTAATTGATGTTTGCTTTTCTCATTGCCGACACGTGGGAAAGGTAAATTACGTTTAATCGTATTTGTGCACGACTCGTCGCTGGATAGCCCAAAAATGCGACGTACAGGGTGAATAATCAACGGCAAAAAATTGGTAAGCATACAAAATTATGGCAGTATAGGCAAGGATGTGTTTTAAACGCAATCCAAATCGTCTGTTTGAGGAGCACTCGCGTACGCAGACGTTTACGTCATAAAGTTGGAGTATCTACTGGACACACCGGAGAAATCGATTATCCGTCGTAAAAACGAGAAAAAACAACCAACCAGACTGCTTTCCTCGACTTTGAGAGTATGAGAGTAAAGTGGCTCAGGAGCAATCGGAGGTCCTCGTCATTTGGCCATCGACAGTTTCTCAGTAGTAATATCGCGATACGGTCAGACATAACGGGGTGGGTAAGACGACGAGTTTTCTAGATGTTTTGGGAATGTAGAAATCTTTTGTTTTTCAAACCGTCTACATTTACAGGGATAACTGTTGACAATTAGAGTTCATTAAAGCTGTTTATCCGTTGGGAAGGTGAGTCTACCACTGACATTGTATGAATACACGGAAGGTGAGAATACACCCGCGCAGGGGATCCAAATGATATAACCAATCAAAATTGATCGTACGTCGACGGGACTGCAAGTTTATAGTATCAAGCGAAACATCGCAGAAATGGTTACCCACTCAAACAGTCAACGGTAGAAAAAAGCTGTACTCCAGGTGCGACATCGCTCCTCTCTGTGCGAGAAGCCTCGAGAGCCGTTGGCTCGACGGGCGGAAAAAGGTAAATAGGAGAGCGGGAGGGAGCCCACGGACGGGGAGGGATAAGGTTTTTAGTGTCTCTGGTGAGCAAAAAACCTAATCTCCAATTTCTCTGGGTCGAAAGCCGAGATCACGGCCAAGCGACGGGGAACAAACGTTGTTTTTGTTGGGCACGCATCAGGGGGAGGAGGGATGGATCGAGAGAATTGATTTGACGAGAGTCGAGTGAGACGTGTGCCTATACGTACCAGCTACAGCGGCCATGCAGACAAATGAGAGAGCCCGTGCAGCGCGTGAAGTGGAAAAACAACATTTGTTCGGTTATGGATGCGGAACGACGGCGATTCACCGGACTCGTTTGATTTTTCAATTGTTGCATCGATTGCACGCGGTAAATCATCGAGCAAGTGTATGGTGCCCACTTTTAAACATAGAGCACAATCAGTTGTTGAGAATGAACATTTTCGTCACCATCACTCCGAGTAGTAATTTTTTTGGGTGGTGTTAGGTTTTTGCCCCGATACATGGGACACGGGTGGAAAAGCAAGTCGCGCGGAAAACCACCACGGCTCTCTGGAACGCTGCACGAGCCACGCGATTGATCTCCTTTTCGTCACGCGCTCGGGTTTCCCCTGAGCTCTCGGGTGTCCCGTGCACCGCATGATATTCTGTTTCAGTTTTAATGAGAACCTCCCGTGAAACGCACCGGGGCTGTGGTAGCAGCAGCCACATGCACGAGGATCTCGTGCGGGATATGTGCGGCATTAAATTCTAGAGATAATGAGATTCGGCGCGCCAGAGTGTGGATAGCAGTGAAGAGCGACGACTGACCGTACCGGCTACTTGTGACGTTTTGCGCCTATTGGAATTGGGGAGCAGTAACGGTCCTTCAACAGCAGTACTTGGTTGTAAAACATAAGTATATGGAAGCAAGAATCATTTACGTGCTTAGATATTATATACATGTGTCTCACAACAAATCACATCTTCTCTCAAACGCGGTTGAGCACAATCTTTGTACTCTGCTTCGAGCTCGAAAAGTAGAATACCAAGCCGGAATCGGTGTGCTCGTCTCCCTGTTGTTTTCGCGTGGATCGTGCAAGTGTAACTCGTGCTGGAGAAAAAAAAAAAAAAAAGAAGAAGAAGGAGAAGGACGAGGGAAACAAAATAAAAACGTAAATCAATCTGTGCAGCAGCGGTACGAGAAGCAAAAAACAAGGGCGAGTGTCGAAAGCGGGTTGGAAAAAAAAGAGGCTGTTTTGCGCCATTGTTCGCGGCGCGAGTCCACCCGATGACCAGCACCGTCCATATGAAGTGTTGGTATCGAATGCCGGGTATATCGATTGCAGAACGGCGTGTGGTATACGTTGTATGTGGGCTCGTGCAAAACGAAAGGGGGCAGTTATCCCGACCGATTGAACCAAAAGGTCGCGAGAGAGGAAAAAAAAGCACGTGTCCGAAGGTCGAGTGAAATATATATTTTTTTTATTTTCCCCTCGAACCAATCGAGCGTGTTGTATAACCGTGTGTTGGGTAACAAAGTTAATACGGGATGGCGCACCTTGTACTTTCCGAGGTGACACGCAAAAGTACCCCGGAGTCAATAAAACGTCTGGTATACGGTATGAACACTGTCAGAAGGAAGGAAGAAAAAAAAAAAATTGAACAAATATTTATCACAGGGAGAAAAGTAAATACGAGCGAGAACCAAAAAGGAAGTTGGCGCATCTTAAAGTTTTAAAGTACGAAAGTTTGTATTCAGCGAAGTTTCCTTCCAGCACACGCGCGGTGTACTTGCGGAGCCAGCTACGAATATTAAAACA